AGAAATTATTTTAAAATACCTCGTGGTGTTCAGACTGGGCTGGAGCAATGCATGGGTGGGGGGTGGCAGTGAAAGAGAAGGCTAGAAATTTTCCATTCATGCTTTAAACACCTCAGCCCTGCAGCCCTTTTCGTGTATCCAGCCAAGGGATGAAATCTGGAAAAGACAGTCAGATCTCAAGACTTGTAGGTGCTTTGATTAAGCTCCTAGGCTCCCACAGCAGGACACATATGGTCTCTGAGACTGTGCCATTCTCCTTACACTTCTGCCTGCTCTCTTGTTTTGAAGGGCAGAGAGTTGATTTCACTCATTTTGGTTCTCACCACTGTGGTGAGGCTGCCACATCTGTGGTCGGCAGGGTCAGTGTTCCCCTGGAGCAAGAACACATTGAATGGGAGCCTGGCCTTTGCAGGTGTCCTGCCGTGCCTCATCTGCTTCCTGTTTGCACCCTCTTCAAGTTTGGCAGAGAGCGCCTTACCAAGGCTCTGTTCCTACTCCCCTGGCATTACGGCTAAAGGGGGATGCTGCCAAGTGTGTCAGGGTCAGGAGTCTTGAATGGTCACTAGGGAGAAAATGTTCCCTCCGAGCCCCTTAGGTGTCAAAGATGACAATATCTGGTAGGTAGAAGACCACTCTTCACACATGTTTAAGCAGGCTGACTGTGATCAAAAAGACTGTTAGACAACATCATGCCCCCTCCCCCTGCCTGTGAGATAACAGAAGGGCTAGAGTTTTTATGAGTTACAATGAGAGAGGGAGACAGAAGATGTTTCCCCTTCACAGCAAGGCTCTGTAGACATGGCCATTGCAGCGACATGCTAACTAACGCAAGGCAATGCTGCAAGAAAACTTATGGCAGAAACTGCCCTAACTTCAGTGTCGGGAGATGGACAGGAACATAACTTGTACCAATAGGAGCTTTAAAACGTTCTAACAGCATAGGCCAAGGAATTCTGGGTAATTTCCCATAAAGCAATGTAGACTGTAGGGGAGTTGGCCTAGGGGAGGGAGGGAATGAGGTCTGGTTTGCGATAGTGGGGGAGAGGCAGTGGACACATTTATTTCAGACTGATTTTTAAAGATAATTCTCTGCCCTGGCCGGTTTGGCTCAGCGGTTGGAGCGTCGACCTGCGGTACAGAGAGACCCGGGTTCGGTTCCCGCTAAGGGCACGTACCTCGGTTGCAGTTTGTCCCCGGCCCTGGTTGGTCGTGCGGGTGGCAGCCATTCAATGTGTCCCTTCACATCGATGTCTCTCTCTCTCTCTCTCTCTCTCTCTCTCTCTTCCTCTCTCTCCCTCCCGCTCTATCGGAACAAAAAATAGAAAAATGTCCTCGGGTGAGGATAAAAAAAAAAAAAGATAATTCTCTGTTCCTTTTAGGATCAACTCTGTAGTCTCACTTCTTATGCTTTTTGAGGCTCTCTTCATGGTATTTAGGGAGCCATGCGGGGAAACTGTCTCTAAAGGTAGTTGCTCTCTTCCTGCCACAACCAGTTCAATCACCAGGGGAATATTTTGTAGTTAGTCGTAACTAAATCTGCTCAACTGAGAATACAAATCCCCACTGCTCCCTTCATTTCTTCATAACCTCATTTAACAAGTATTTTTCTGGCCCCATTCTGTGCCGGGTACCATGCTGAGTGCTGGGAATACAACAGCAAACAAAACCAACAAGGTCCCAGCTCTCACAAAACTTTCCACCTAGAGATTGGCACTGAGACAAAAGCAGACTGATACAAGACAGCGTAATGAACTCATTTCTGGGGAAGCATAGGGCGTAGCACTGTGGACTACCTAGCTAGGGGCCCCCACGCAGACGGAGAGTGGCAAGGAGAGGCTTCTACAGAATCTAGAAAGACTCAGGAATTGAGATCTAAAGGCTGCTTAGGAGTGAACCCTAAGGGAGGAGGGAAGTAGAGGCTAACAGGAAGAGGAGAGGCTCCAAGATGAAAGAGCCTGTAGCCCATGGGAGCAGCTGAGACAAATTCTGTTTTACTAAGGGTCCACTAGATCTAGGGGGTGAGTGAAAGTTCTGGGCAGTGAGCGGGACCAGGTCACACAGGGCCTTGTCCACCTTGCTAAGAAGTTGACAATTGGCAATGGGAACCCACTTAAAGGTTTTGAACAGAGCAGTGATATTTTCTACGTACATTTTAGAAAGATACTGGCTGCAGAATGAAGACTGGATTGGAGGAGAATAAGAATGAAGATACAGAAACCAGTTTGAAGGTTGTTTCTGTAGTCCTCGTGAGAGATGATAGTGACATGACTCTAGAGTATTGTCAATGGGAATGGAGAGAAGTGGGTGGATTCAAGTAATATTTTGGAAAGAGAATTGACAGAACTCAAGGACTGCTTGGAAAATTGGGAACAACTCTCAGGTTTCTGGCTTGAGTAACAGTTCATAGTGGTGCCATTTACTGAGATAGAGAACACAGGAGGTAAAGAAAGCTTGGGAGTGGGAATGGAAATAGAAGCAGAGTGGCAGGTTAAATTTAGGATATTCTGAGTTTGAGCAGCTTGACAGACATACTCTTGGGTATTGGGAATCCATCACTTAGATCTGGGCTGGAGCTATGGTTGTGAGTCATTTATACAGACATGGTGGCTAAACCACAGAGGTGTAAAAGATTGCTTAAGAAAAATGCATCGAGTCGGAAGGCAAGGACAGAACCCTAGAAAACAGCCACATTAAAAGGAGGGATAGAGGAGGATAAGCTCACAGAGGAGAATAAGTAGAAATAGCTAGAAAGTAGAAGGGAAACTAGGAGAGTATAATTATCATGGACACTAAGAGAAGAAAATGCCTGAGAGATCAAGTAAGTTAAGGACTGAGAAGTTCCCATAGAATCTGAGCAATGAGGAGGTTATAGGAGACCACGGAGAGAAAGCATAAGTGGAATGATGGAAGCCGAAGCCTGATTAAACTGGCATGAAGAGTGAATAAAAAACAAGAAATTAGGGCAGTAAATGAAGGAAACTCGATAAGTTTGTGAATTGGCAGTCGGCACAGGCCAGATGAAATGGAAAGCAGACATGTGGAGGGGACTATTGAATAGTTTCCAAAAATGAAAGAAACTTGAACACATTTCAAGGCTGATGGAAAAAGTCATTTACGTTAGTCAGAGGTCAAGACTCCATAGAATCTCATTTCTAAGAAAGAAAGCGGCCCTGGCCGGTTTGGCTCAGCGGTTAGAGCGTTGGCCTGCGGTCCAGAGAGACTGGGGTTCGGTTCCCGCTAAGGGCACGTACCTCAGTTGCAGTTTGTCCCCGGTCCTGGTTGGGTCGTGTGGAAGGCAGTCACTCGATGTGTCCCTTTCATGTCGATATCTCGCTCGCTCGCTCGCTCTCTCTCTCTCTCTCTCCCCCCCTCCCCCTCTCTATCTGAACAAAAAATGGAAAAATGTCTTCTAGTGAGGATAAAAAAAAAAGAAAAGAAAGCGGAAGGGTTACAACTACCTGTCAGGAGGGGCGGACACCTCCTACACTGGAATGGGAAAGAACGGTGGTTGTCAATAAAGGTACATTTCTGTTTTGGTGGCTGATGGTTGACAAATATTATGCCTTCTCTTTTCTCTTTGAAGGTGGAAAGAGGTCATCTGCTGAGAGGGAGAGGAGAGGCAGAATTGGAGGAGGGGAGATACACTGTCAAAAAGAACAAGCCAGGAAAAAACAAAAGAAACAAAAAGATAACCACTTGACCCAGAATTTTATTGTTACCAACCTGGTTTTCTTTCTTTCTTTTCCTTTTTTTCTTAGAACTCAGCAGCTAGGTGAGCAAATGCAGCCCCATGGTACCCCAAATCCAGTTGAAGTGGAATACATGATATTACCCGTGTATTCCTAAATTTTACTACCTTCAAAAAGAAGAAAATATGTTCTTGTGCTTTCAGGAATGCTCCCATAATGTTCAACATCTGCTGTGCTTTTGAGAAGCTCTTCTGTATTCAGGGAACCCCCTTCTCAATCCTGTGACCACCACTTCTTTTAAACCCTCTTTCCCTTGCTTGTTTGCCCCTCTGTGGCTTTTATGTCCTGCCATCATTATTAATGTACATGTCAACTTCTAATGTTTAGAGCACCTACTATGTATCAGAATCTTTTAATTGTTTTCACTTCTGTGGCATCTCTTATATCCCTACAACATAGGGAAGGGGTGATGATAGTCTCCTTACTCTTACAGAAGAGGAGATTAAAGCTAGAAGAACCTAAGGTCACATGGTTACTAAATGACCAAATGGGGATTAGGTCCCAGTCTGTCTGACTCCAAAGCCCATTACTCTCTGCTATAAGCTCCTAGGGAGCAAGCAATGTTCTGATTCGTCATTATACATCTCATGGGAACACAAACAGCACTTTGCACATAGAAGGTGATTGGTAAATATAGATTTGAACGATGACCTGACTTCCTGAATATTTTTAGTGTTCTGTCATTTCAGGGTGTGCCCAACTTTCTCTGACTACGCCTTTCAACTTTGTTTGGTAAAAAACAAGCCCTGGCCGGTTTGGCTCAGCAGTTGGAGTGTCAGCCCTCAGACCAGAGAGTCTCGGGTTTGATTCCTGTCAAGGGCACATTCCTTGGTTGCGGTTCAGTCCCTGGCTCTGGTCGGGGTTGTGCAGGAGGCAACCAATCAATGTGTCTCTCTCACGTTGATGTCTCTCTCTCTCTCTCGCTCTCGCTCTGCCATGCCCACTCTATCTGAAGATAAATGGAAAAAAAGTATCCTCGTGTGAGGATATATAAAAGAAAAACAACAAAGCAAACAAACAAAAAACATGCTCTTTAGGTTTAGCAATGGCATCAAATGTGCTAAGTTTACAATGTAGACAGGAAGATGGCAAAATGTAAAGTTTGCTTTCCTCCTCTAGATGACTTTTTTAAATATAATAATCCCATCAAGGGTATTAACCACCCAACAGAATCTCCCTTACAGTCACCATAAGAGGTTAACAGAAGCATGACCAAATTCCAACTGAAATCATCCTCTTTTCATTTTTCAGGAGTATAACATGTATGGCTGGTGGGTAGGAGAACTGAATAGCCTCATTGGGATTGTTCCAAAGGAGTATCTCACAACTGCCTTTGAAGTAGAAGAAAGATGAAGCCCAGGTATCAGAACTATTGCCCATGAATGTGTTGGCCATGTCTTTGTTTCTCTGTGAAGGATGATAGTTGCCAGTGAAATAGCTTTTCTTCATTTCCAAAAATGATGCTAATAATTCACCACTGAAAGAAGATGATTCTGGAATTGTTTTTCCTAAATTAGGGGACTGTGTCAATTGTGATTACGTTCAACTACATATGACAGAAACTCAAAATAACTGATTTAATTAACATAAACATTTATTTTTCTCTTCTGTAAAAATCCAGAGGTAAGTATTACAAGGTGTTTAGATCCCAGGTACCGTCTCTTTTGCTCCAATGTGTGGCCAACATTCCTAAGGTTACCTCATGGTCCAAGATGGATGCTCCAGCTCCAGCTATCATGCCTGTATCCTACCCAGCAGAAAAGATAAAATAAAAGGAAAAGGGCACGCCCTCTCCTTTTAAAGATGTTTCACAGACGTTGCACACACTACTTCTGCTTACATTCCTTTGGCTAGAATTTGGACATACAAACAAAAAGACAAAGCTGCAAAGAAAGCTTTACTTTAGGTAGAACCTGTGTCTAGCTTAAAAGTGGAAGAGAGACTTGTTAATAAAATAAAAAGGGGAGAATGGATATTGGGGATAGCTAGGGATTTTTGCCACCAGCATGGGTCTGGGTTTCTGTATCTCCAACTCCCAAATCCAGGCAGGACCCAATTTCCCCAAAATGCCCATGTATTACAATATGATTGACCAAGATTAGGAACCTACTGTGAGGATTCCTAGGGCACATAAATTAACTTTTAGATAATAAAGAATATGGCTTGCATTTTATTAACAAGGACCATTTCATATTTTAAAAGTTGAGTGAATGCTTGCTTTGGGTGAGATAACTTTGCAATTGTTTTGGCACAGATGGATTTTGTTTAGAATTAAGATGGTGATGGAGGGCACCCAAAGCTAGCATGATGTCACTAGCTCCATCTTCTGGCCTGAAATGGGAGCCGACTTTATTGCTGCAGGTGAAGGATGACATATGTGGCAGTGATACAATACAAACTGTCCTTGGAATCTTCCAGACCAGGGCCCATTCTAGAGTGTAGCAGCAGCGGTATGGATTCATTTAGGAAAATACATAAGATCCTACTTTCTGATGCCCTTGTACAACCATGAAGCACCAGCTCAGGCCTGTCGCACAAGGTTTGACTTTATGACCTTCCCAATGAGGGCTTCATTTCCTGGCCATGAATGTAGAAGGGTTGGAATTTTTCTGTCAAATCTAAACAGATTCACCCTACTTCACTTTGTCATTTACTTAATGACAAAGTTGTTTATCTCCTCATTCTCTTTAACCCAACAATTCCACACCTAGGAGTTTATCCTACAGCTATACTTGCTCACATGCAAAATGATAAACATATAAGGCTATTTGTTTGTAATACCAAACCACTGGAAATAACCTAAATATTCAATAGAGACCTAGCCAAATAACTGTAGTACATTCATAGAATCGAATACTATGCAACAGTAAAAAAGAAAAAGCAGCTCTCTGCACTGATATGGAATATATTCTGAGAGATGTTGGTAAGTAACAACAACAACAACAAAAAAGGCAACAACGAAGGGTATGCCTAACTTACTCCATTTGTGTAAGAAGGGAGTTTCCAATTGTTAATATATGTATGAGATGCTTCTGGAAGGAGAAAGAAAATGCTGACACTGGTTGCCTCCAAAGACAGAGAAGCTGCACGACTGTGAGACAGTGGAACACTTTTTACTCTGTGCCCTTTTATACCTTCTACATTTTGAATCATAAAAGCAAATGTATGTATTTTTCTTCCTTTAGGACACATATCCTTCTCTCTATCCTGCCTTTATGAAGAAACTGATCATCAAGAGCTCCCACTTCCTACCTCCTGCTGCCCTACCAACACCATGGATTCTTCTCTTTACTGAAGAGACCTGTGTCTCTGACACCATTTAGTAACTGGGAAGAGGCATATTCAGCAAACCTGTTACCAAACCTGCATTGTCATAGTTCATTCCATCTCTAAACATGTCCACATAGTCACTTCTGCCCTTTCCACAGTCTTGTCACAGAGAAGGTAAGAGAGAAGGAAACCTTTGGAGAAAGAAGCTGTTGGTTGTTTTGACTGATTTGAAAAGCACAAATAAATTTCAGATTTGTTTCCTAGCCACGTGTGATAGTGTTGAGTTTCTTTTTGTAATGGTATAAAAATGTTGGTTCTGGACATTCTTGTCAACTCCAAACAAAGTAGGAAGGGATAGCCAGAGAGAAAACAAAAGCCCAGATAGAGAAGAGGACTTGCAATTGTCTTTTGGGGTAGGATCATCTCTGGAATCTAGGCCTGCCTCCTTGGCCTCTCAGACTTCCTTTGACTACCTCCTTGGTTATTTTTTCTTATGTGCTGAATCTCTCTGAAATGAGACAGGGCTAGAAGCAAGTCCTTGGAGTCAGCACATTGGAGAGTTCCTTTTCAGCCTCAATTAACTACTCAAGTGGGTCCTGTCTGGCAGCAAGTCCTAGCTAGGGGCCAAGCAAGCACTTTGAGAAGGACGTGTGTATACACAGTCCTGTTCCTTCTCCTGTTGCCTGTACTAGCACTCAGGTTATCTGTACCTTGAAGAGGCAGCTAAACATAGTGGTTAAGAACATAAACTCTGGAGCCAGGTAGCCTGGGAATAAACCCCAGTTCCCCATTTACTACATACATTCCCTAGAGTAAGTTACCTGACCTTTTTTTTAAAAAAACTTTTTTTTTTTAATCCTCATCCGAGGACATTTTTCCATTTTTTATTCAGATAGAGTGGGAGGGAGAGAGAGAGAAACATCGATGTGAAAGGGACACATCGAGTGGCTGCCACCCGCACGACCCAAGCAGAGCTGGGGACAAACTGCAACCCAAGTACATGCCCTTAGCGGGAACCGAACCCGGGTCTCTTGGGACCGCAGACCGATGCTCTAACCGCTGAGCCAAACCGGCCAGGGCAAGTTACCTGACCTTTTATGCTTGAACTTCATCACTTTAGAAGAGGCATACACCATCTTACCAAATCATTAGGAAGATTAAAGGAAAAACACGTGTTAATGTACTTAAAACAATGATGGGCACAGAGTAACTGCTCAATAAGGATTAGTTACTATTATTGCCTGACTCTCTACACAAGAAATTTTGAAAAATGGGCAACTGAGCAGCCAAAGAAATTTTCTCTCATGAAAATTACAGCATAGGTAATATAGTCAATAATATCATAATAACTATGTATGGGGCCAGGTGGGTACTTGAAATACGGGGGGCAGGGTGACCACTCTGTAAAGTATATGATTGTTTAACCACTATGCTGTACATCTGAAACTAATACAGAATAATATTGAATGTAAACTGTAACTGAAAAAAGAAAAGTAAATAAAAAGGAAAAAAATAATTTTTCTCTCTGAAACTGCCTATTCAGAGAAGTCCTGGATTGGTAGTAGCCTTCTTCAGCTCTATAACAACCATATCATAGCCCTGCAGTAAGACATTCATTTCATATCATCGAAAGAAAGAAACCCAGGAGCAAACAATGGATTCCAAGTTTCTCAAAAGATCCTATGCCAGCTCTTCGTTTCCTGATTTCCTGACCCAGGTGTAAAAAACAATCAAGCTTTTTGTGTATGTGCTGTAAAAAGAGGTAAGCCGCCCTGGCCGGTTTGGCTCAGAAGTTGGAGCATCGGCCTGCGGACCAGAGAGTCCCAGGTTCGGTTCCCGCTAGGGGCACGTACCAAAAAAAAAAAAAAAGTAAGAAAGGCAGAGAACCTAGGTCTAGGAGAAAAACGGGAGATAAAAGGCAATAGTGAACTGTCCGTAATGTCGCCTCCATTTTACACAGGGTGCTAAAGGAGAAGGAACCACTAGATGGCAGCATATGAGCAGATGAACCAAAGAGAACCAATGGCTTTTAGCTTCAGGAACCTTTGCACCAATCCCAACCTACAGGTAAGGACAATGGGCATTGTTCTAAAGTGTTCAACAGAGGGAACAAACAGGAACCCCTCTATGACCCTGACTGTTCCCTCCCTGGAGAACCCACAGGGACCCAAGTCTGGAAGGCTGGGAGGTTAAGAGAAAAAAATACCCTTGTACCACTGCTCTGACTGAGACACACACCAGAAGAGCAAGTATCTGGGGCAGGGTCAGAAGGGGGATGAAAAAAGAGCAAGGTCAAGATAACTTCACTCTCTGCACAGTTCAAAGCTCTCTCAATAGCATGGTCATTGGCTTCCAGCATTTGAAACAAAATCCCCTTAGTGCAATAATCCCTTCTCTACCTGTAGACCTGAGGAAACCACCATTTGCCAAACTGCAAAGGTCTTTCAGCACTTCTGTCAGCTGCAGGGTAGGCACCACACTTAGACCTCTGACGCTTCTAGCTGTAAAACTCAGTGGAAAAGTAATTAACTTGGCCCTAGAAGATGTCAACAAATGGACTGATTGGAAACCCAGTCCATTGCCATCTGGCTATCTTGGACATTGTTACATTCAGGAAATGATGGTGCAAGTTTGATGTGTTGATGAGACTATCTATGGGGCTGAAGGGCATTATATGTTACGGGGAAGTTCTAAAGGAGACCTTTTGGAAACAAGAGACTCCTACTGTCTTTCTGGAGATCAACCTAACCTAGCAGAACTGCTCCCTACTCAGTTCATCAGCCACCATCTTAGCCAATAGCCTCAAAAAACAACCAGCTAATCAGATTACAACTTCTCTGACTCCTCACCTTACAGTCTGTGACTAACTGGATAACTGGGGATATTAGACCACTTAACTAACCACATTAAATGAAGAATGGGTTCTTTTATTAATAGGTCCTTAATAGCCACTAATTGATCTGACATGTGAAATAGAAGAGGGTTAGATGTGGGAGACTTTTTTTCTTCCTTGAATTTATAAAGGAGGGAAAATAAGAAAGCTCAGATCCTAAATTTAAGAAGCAAATGTGTTATCTGCCTTTTACAGATGAAGAATTTACACAGAATTTACTGACATCCACTGGATAATCTGACCTGGGGCTGGTATAGTTTGGCCTGTATTGTCCAAACTAATATCTGAGAATACTAAATGCCCTGGAAGCAATCTTTCAGCTACATTTCATTAAAACTACATTTGTTCGTGTTTTCTGTCATCCATATAGCAAAATAGCATAGACAGTTTTGCAATTACCTCAATATTAAATTTTCCCATACAATAGCCTGTTATATCTCTTAGAAATCTGAATTTAATTCAAAATCAACTACAGCTCTCCCTCTGGTGAATAAAAATGGGAAAGAGAATTCCTATTAAGTCTCATTTCCTAAACCCAAATAGTTTGACTCCATTTAAAGTGAGAGCAATGCCAAAAGGTGGGGCTGATTAGATGTCCTCCCTCCTGTTTCAAATAGATATTTTATCTAAATTTAGTATGTAAGGAATAGCCTAGATTTCAAGTTCTCATTAACTGGTTTATTTTTAGCACTTTAGCTTGCTCAGTTGAACCCCCTTATTGTAACCAGTTTGTCTTGACAAGTGGCAAGACTGAGGATCTGAAAGGTGGTGACTTAGACAAAAATCACACAAAATCTGCTGTGGAAGAAATGAAATGAAAGACTTTAAATTCTCAGTCTGCTGCTTTGCTTATTGAATCACTCACATTCTGTTGCAGTTAGACACCTCCAGTGACACATTTTCAAAATCCACATTCCATGCCAGTCACTTGCGACACAATAAAGCAGTGGTGTCGATGCAAAGAGCATGATGGGGGGGGGGGGGACACTCCTGCCTTTAAAAACCAGTCTGAAAAAAGGGAGTTGAAGAAAACAAGAATGGAAAAAAACAAAACAAACAAAAAAACCCACAAAGTATGTTCTTTTTTTCCCCTTGCATCTTAAGAATAAAACTCAGATGCCAGGGAAGAGGTGTTTTACTCTTTGGCCAAAAAGAAGCCCTCCCCACAGTTCTCCCCACCAGGAGTGGCTCTGAAAGGATAAATTTTGAGTGGCACTGATTTGCTAATTCCCAGAGCACCAGCAAAATCAGTGGAGCTGACTTTAGAAAAAGCAGCCGTCTATAAAAAAAAAAAGAAAAAGAAAAAGCAGCCGTCTACACAGAGGATTATCCCAGCTACACAGCCCAGTAATTCAAACTAATTTTCTAGTTTGTGGATTACCATAGTCCCTTGTTCCTCCCCTCCCCTCCTGTCCAGCCATTTCATTTCCCATTAGAATTTACAGAGATTGGGTAGAGTTTGAAACCTACAACTAAAAAAAGATTTTTCTTCTTCAAAGGATTTGAATTATTTTCCCTATTTCCCTATCATAAACTAACTGTTCAAAAGACATGCTGAGTTTGTTTTTCATTAGTATAAATTGATGAACATTCTTTTGCAACCCTTTGGGATTCAATTAGTAATACACTTTAAGCCCTGGCCAGTGTGGCTCCATTGGTTAGAGCGTCACCCTATACACAGAAGGGTCACAGGTTCAATTCCCAGTCAGGGCACATACCCAGGTTGCAGGTTCAATCTCTGGTCAGGATATGTACAGGAGGCAATTAATCAATGTTTCTCTCTCACCTCGATGTTTCGGTCTCTGTCCCTCTACCCTCCTCTCTAGAATCAGTGAAAAACATATCCTCAGGTGAGGATTATAAAATATACATTTTAAGATGTAGCCCATTTTGTGCAAAAATCTTGTATAAATATAATGCCCCCTAAAAACTATTAGAGGAAACAGGTACAACTAATAGGATGACCATATAATTTGTTTTCCAAATGGAGACACTTTGAGACTGAAAGGGGGAGTTATTAACGACTCCAAGACTGCAGGTGTAAACCAGGATGAGTAGTCACCCTAAAAATAAGGCAAAATGAGTTGCCCATTCACCAGGGGTGTGGGTAGTAGAGAGAGAGATTACCTGGTCTCCTGGTACGATGTTCCTTCTAATGAAGTCCTCTCCTCTGCACGCCTGGTATATAGGCAAACTCTGCCAACTAGGCTTTCTTTTCCTGATGTGCAGGCAGCTCTGAGAGGCCTGGTGCCTCTAGCAGCATGCTGCTTGTGGGGCTGGCTGGCTGGCTGTCAGCAGCTGTGTGTGTCTAGTTCCCTCATGGGGCCCCTCACAGCCCACCACCCCTCCACCTGGCAGAGTGCCACTGAGGGAAGCATTTTTGTGGCACTGGGCAATAATGTGCCACTTCCTTGCCTCCTGTGATGAGATTAAGTTCCAAGAGACTTCTAGTGCTGGTCCTCAAAAAGGGCATCTGGTTCCACCGCAGACACTCTTAACCTGATGGTGAGCAGCTGGCCACCTCTTATCCCCCCACATCTGATCATGGAACAGAAACAGAAAACATGCTACAAACACTTCCCTTTTCCCCATGGTCAGACACACTGTCCAGCATTGTTTTGCCTTCATTCACCAAGGGGGCACATGCACACCACCTACATTTACTGGCACATGCACACCACCCCATGGTAGGCACTCTGCTAGGCCTGTCACTAATATATTCCACCCCTGGAAAAGCATCTGGCATCTGGAGACCAGTGCTCATTTCTTCAACATCTCCAAGGCGGTAGAGCGGAAGTTTGGGGGGAAAGGCAGAGCTTAGAGCTTATAACTTCACTCTGTTAGTGCGGGGTTTTTTGACCTGGCATGATTGACATTTTGGGCCAGAGAATTTTATGTTGTAGGGCACTGTAGGACGTTCAACAGCATCCCTGGTCTCTACACACTAGATACCAGTAGTGCTCACCCCTGATGACCAAAAATGTCTCCAGATGTCCCTGAAAACAAAAATCGCCCCTGGTCGAGAACCACTGCCTCAGGACATTTGGGTGTGCTTAGGACCAAGCACAGAGAAACTGCCCTCCTTGCCCCTTAATTTTTATTTATTTTTAAGAGGAAGGGAGTGAGAAGTAAGGAGAAATAGAAACATCTATGACAGAGAACATCAATTGGCCACCTCCTGCATGCCCCCCACTAGGGATCAGGCCCACAACCTGGGCATGTGCCCTGACTGGGAATCGAACTGGCAACTTCTTGGTGCACAAGTCGATGCTCCACCACTGAGCCACACCGGCCGGGCCCTCCCTGCCCTTTAGAAGTTTGTGCTTTAGTGCTAGGGAGCAGCTTACAGCTAGGTTGGAAAGACAGAGTATAAATGCCATTCATTCCTCAGGGTTTAAGAACCAGCAAGCAAGCCCCTATGCTCCACAAACACTTTTGAGATGTGCTGGCCTGCACCACTGCAGATTTGCACTACAAAAATGTTTTCAAATGAAGAAGCCCATACTTGCTGATTTAGAGAGCTGCATTACAGTGAAACTCTCTCTACAGCTCTGTGTTTACTATCCCTGTTTCAGTGGCAGAAATCCCTGAAATTCTTAGTCAGGAGCAAGTGAAATGCTGTGTATTACTTCAGAGTGAGAAACACGGGTTCATAGAAAACAAGCGCAGAAGACAGCTACAGCTACAGCTACAGCTACAGCTACAGGCGACTGCTCTGCCCCCCCCCCCCCCCCCCCCCCCGCACTGAGTCGCTGGTGCAGTGCTCACTGCAGTCCCCAGGCAGAAGTGAGGAGAGTCAGGACAGACTGGCATCTTGTGGCAGTGACTTTCCTGGTCCTTCATCTGAATTTAGGGGAAAGTTTTCTCCTACAAAATGACTCCCATGAGCTGTCAAAAAAAAAAAAAAACCCACAACACAACCAAAACCCACTGCCTTCTCAGAGGCCAAGATAGGATGAGGGGTCCAGTGCCTTTGTTGTCTTTGCCTTCACACGCCAGACAGGAGGGCCAAGCCAGAGCCCTGTAGATGCTGCCTCCCATGGGCCCTGAATCTGAGGCACCTGGAAGGGTTATTAGCAGGATTGGAACTCATTCCTCTGCTGGGACTAGATCATAATTACAGTAATTGTCTAACAGAGCTCGGCAGTAGGACTGTTTAATCAGCATCTGACTCCCTTGTGCTCCCAGTCCTCATCACTCAAGGAGAGGAGTGGGATGGCTCTTAAAGAGACAGTGCTCGCCTTTCAGCATTTGGAACAGATGTGCCCTAATTGGTAGAATATATCTAAGTCTCATATGGGCAGGTTGCACTGCCTCCAACAAACCGCCTTGGGCTCTCACTATTCTGGGCCTTCTGCTGGAGGGAATCAGGTCGAGCTGTTGGTGGGCCTGGCTTCCCACACCAACATGGCCACCAGGGAAGGAACACACACAGGGCTAGAATTTCAGGGAAAAATCTAAACTAACTGCCCCTTCCAAACAGATAGTATGAAGAAAAAAGTGCTTGGCTGAAAGGACAGGAAGGAGGGACTCAACAGCCACAAATAATTGTGGCTGGTGGCTTCCCATAACCCAAAGATTACAGAAGCATCTCATGTTCCTGCAGTTCCGGGGGGGGGATCCTTAAAGACTTTCAGGTGGCCTCTTATTAATTTTCATACTCTAGCTTTACCATCTCTCTCTACTTATTATCCAGGCTCCTTTCCCTGCTATGTAAGCACCCCTTGTTTTTCTCCTCCTTTGCTTGTAGAAGTGGACGGGGTATGCCCTTAATGAAAAGGAAGTAAAATTATTCACTCTGTTCACTAAGTCAGGAGCACTGTCTTCTAAAAAATGTGGCTCTTGTTATCCTTCTGAGTATAAATTGTCCATGCTTATTGTCTCTCGAAAGTTGAGGTTAGAACTTCCAGCTCCAAATCCAGCCATGACTACAGTGGAACTAATTTTACCCAAGTTACGTCTCTAATAAGATGCTAGGACTGGCTCCTGCTGCCCTGTTGGAAGCCAGATGCGTGCTTAGGCTTTGCAGCAGTTCCTGAAACAGCTCCTTAGAACTGAGGCAGGGAGTAGATGAAAGATAAGAGGTTAGGGGATTGGGGAGGAGGGGGGACTTCCAGATCAGTTAAGGAAAGAAGGTACAGTGATAAGAATAGGAACAAGAGCACTCATCTACAGTTCAAACAAAGGTTACCTTGAGCTGGGCAACATGCCCTCTACAGAGCTGAGTCCCCGCTGGCAGAGGGCCACCTGGGAGGGGTGGCTTAGGATCAGTGCCCAGGCTTGACTGAGGAAGTCACTATCTCGCACTACAGTGGTTATCTGCTTGGCTTTAGCTGCGTCTCAGCTGGCTACTCACACATAAATCCGCAGATGCCACTCCAGCCCGACTGAGTGCTCCCGCAGCTTCCCAAGGCAGGTCTGGAGCTGATCTGTTTCCATTTCTACCTCCAATCCCACCTTGCAACCTTCCGGCCCACTGTCTACTCACCACTAAATGTTAAGACTACTCAGCAAGAACTAAAGGCATGTAAACAAATTCACAAACACGGAGCTAAATTAATGTCCAATCAGGTTGTTAAAAAGTCATGCTTACTCCTAAGCAAAGCTACCAGAGAGGGAACGAGGTACCTTAGACTTAGTGGTGTGGATTGAAGGCCTAGCGTTCTTTTTTTTTGGGGGGGGGGGGGACCTTGTCTTACAGAGCTTGGAAAAGATCTCTCATGTGAATATATCCTACCAACATCTAAAAACATGTTTATAAAAACCATACTCAGCTCAACTCAAGTTTCCTCAGCTAGAAAATGAGTGTAGCCCAGACAGTGTGGCTCACTGGTTGAGTGTTGACCCATGCACCAAGAGGTCACTGGTTCAGTTCCCAGTCAGGGCACATGCCCAGGTTGTGGGCCTTATCCCCAGTGGGGGGCATGCAGGAGGCAGCCAACTGATGTTCTCTCATCGATGTTTCTCTCTCTCTCTCCCTCCCCCTTCCTCTCTCTCTAAAAATTAAAAAATAAATTAATAGCCTGGCCAGCATGGCTCAGTGGTTGGGTGTCGACCCATGCACCAGGGGGTCATCGGTTTGATTCCTGGTTGGCCAGGTTATGGGCCTGATCCCCAGTGGGGGGCATACAGGAGGTGGCCAGTCGATGTTTCCCTCTCTCTCCCTTTCCCTTCTTCTCTCTCTAAAATCAATAAAGATTAAAAAATAAATAAAATGTAAAAAAAGAAAATGACTGTAATACTTGCTCTGTCCTTCTCATTGGGCACCAAGGTAAAAAATAATGCATGTGAAACTTATGATTTTCATACAAGAAAACTCACCTTCCCCTCCACCCACATACACACGTGCACACACATATTTCCTTCCACCAAATAAAATGAAACCCATGAGCTTGGGATCTGTCATCCTGAGTAACAGGAGATGACTAGACTTGGGCCATGGAAGTAGCTGTTGGAAGAAAGGTGACTTCATCAGGTATAGAACCTACCTCAATCCTAAATTCGAACAAAAAATACTTTCATTTTACACCACAGCTCAGTCCACTCACAGAGGTCACCGGCCATGGTGGCTAGCCCTTAGTACACACAGGGACAGAGCACAACATGAGAGGAGCAAATGGCATTGTCCAGATGGAGAAGGATATCCATTTTTGCTGTTTTTCTGCTAACTCCAGGCCTGTATTATTAGAAAAATTCTTCCCTTCTCCTAAGATGCCCTAACATTCCCTTCCATGGCCTACACTCAACTCTGCATAAGACAGTTGAAGGGATGGTGCGTAGCCTTAGATTAACTGAGGTGCTGTTATATGCACTGCTGTTAATGGATCATTAAAAAGCCAGGAGTCAGAAAAATTGCATTTGTGTCTTTGAATGGCTCCTGCTGTCCCAGCAGCCTACCCTGCTGGCAGAACTAGCTGCTGAGCACCAACTCCAGGAAGAAAAGGAGCGAACAGAAGAAGGCCAACCCAGCTTGCTGTTTTTTGGCTGAGTAGGGAATTGACACAGACCACCTCCGGCTCCTGTCTGGAAGTTTTGAGATCAGAGAGCTTCAGGCACAGCTGGGTTCACAGCTGCACCATTTGGAGCATTGGACTCATTAATATTCATGAGTCATCCCCACCAATCGGCAGAGCGGATGCCATTAGCTTAGCATCTGTCGGGTTTTTGTGAGGGTTGTGTATGGAGTTTTTTTCCCTTTTTAAATGAACTTCTTTTGACATTTTGGATTTGCCTCTGTAGGTTTTCTATCCTCGCCTTGCTCTACTGCACCATATAAAGGAGAGACTCAGGGGAGGCAGGCAGGAAAGAGGGATGAGTCCCAGCCAGGGCTTTGCATCTGCCTGTTGACAAACTTTATTTCTCTTTCAGCACCTGGCACCTCAGACAGGCTGCAAGGATGGAAGCAGCATCAGGTAAATTATACCTAACAAGGTTCATGCCCATAACTGTGAGAAGAGCTGGATCCTGGCTCTTTGGAAGGCAATCCTTCCTCCAGTGGTGCACTTGAGCTGCACACACAATGCAGGAGAGCTGCCGTGCACAGCTCTGAACCATTATTTCCACGCTGATAAATTCATGATTTATGAAAGTAACTACTGCCAGCCTTCATTCCCTCCTTCTCTGCTACAGCTTGTTAGACACAAATTGCAACAACAGTCTTAAATAGTTGAATTTTATTCAGGCCAAAGCCCCTCAACTCTGAACTAAATGCCATGACAGTCCCACAGCATAGGCTGGTAAGAGAGCCCACAGGCAGGGTGGGATGGCCAGAGGAAGGGAGTGGGTGAGAACCACACACAACCCTAAGTGCAGAGCAATGCAGAATGCCAGGGGCACTCATCTCCTACCAGGTCTGGCTCTCAGTGGAGAGGAATTATGGCAGCAGGAGGGCAGAATGCCTCATTGTCTGAACGAAGGCGTGTTGTTTCTCATCTCTACCCCTAGAGCCCTCTCTCCAGAAAGAAACAAAGCCCTTGTGCCCCACTGGACTGAACATACGGCCTCCCTGCCACACAGCAGAGGGACACTGTAGTGGCTGAAGCCCTGGGGGCAGGGAGCTGTTACTAAGGGAGAAGAAAAGGGTTCAAAAAAGAAAGGAGCTCATTCTATTCCTGCAGAAAAGATGGTCACATCTCTGCTTTATAAGCAGAGCAGACAGTGACAGCCCAGGACAGCCTTTTCCAAAACAAAGCTCCCTGAGCTGTTTGCCTTTCCTCTGGCTGTGAACAACCACTTCTCTTTTATGGGTGGCCATGACCTATTTTGTGGGTCTCAGGCCCCAAAGAACCAGGCTGAGGCATTGGGCTATGCAGAAATCCCCAACGACAGGAGTCACAGCACCATTCCACTCAGTGCTATTAGTGGAAGAAAAGCAAGGAGGTGGGAGAATCCATATTCACCACCCTGTCAATTGAAGGAGGTAGCAAAAGGAGACCCTCCCAGAATCAAAGTGCTGCAGCAAAACACAGACAGTGGGAACACAAGTGCACAAGCATTTCTGTTGGGACAATATTCAGTATGGCAGCTTAAATCTGCCACTTACAGGTCCCCAAAACCAGTCACCTGAGGCAGTGCTCCTGGGCCCATTAACAAACATCAAAAGAAACTCAGCTTCCAAGAGAATAAACATGGGACTCTGTTCAAAATCAATAGCCCCTGGACCTTATGCTTAACTTACAAACATGTGCATAGTGTTTACCCCTATGGAGGAAGCTTGAGGAGTCGTCTTGACCAACCTCTATGCAACCAACCTGAACAGAGGCAACAGTGAAACACTAAGCAGCCCAACCTCCCCAACTGTCCTACGCCCAGTCCCACCCAAGTGCCTGCATCTCCTTGCCTGCGTCTTTTCTGTCCACCTCAGAGCAGAACCCCGATCTCAGACCAGAGCTCACTTTTCCAAAATGGTTTCTAATTGACTAGAATCCAAATGTACAGCATGGTCCCCTCCCAAGGACCTCCTCACAGGCTGAGGAGCAGAGGGTCCCTCATCAGGTCTTGCAAAATCACAGCTTGATGGTGAGGTAGGGGGTAGGAGAGGGGGGCTTTCCAAGGAAGGAGCCTCAGAGTCAACAGTAGGAGCCCACACCTCAAAATGGTTCTTTTCTTCCTCAGGAGGCGGTGAGGGAGAACTCCTCCTGCTCGATCTTGGGAAAAAGCAGCAACTAGAAGAGTGGGAAAGGGAACAGGTAAACAAAATGAATGGATAAACACAAGTGAAGACAAACAAAAGGTGGTATATATCCATAGAATGGATTATTATTCAGCCATAAAAAGGAATTCAGTACTGATACACATTACAACATGGATGAACCTTGAAAACATGCTAAATAGAAGGAGCCAGTCACAAAAGACCACATCTCTTACAATTCCATTTGTATGAAATGTCTAGAAGAGATAAATCCAGAGACACAGAAAGTAGATGAGTGGTTGCCAGGGACTAGGGGTTGCAGAAGATGAGAGTCATGCTAATGGGTACAAGATTTCTACTGGGGTGGTGAAAATGTTCTAAAATTGATTATGGTGATTAATAGCTGCACAACTTTGTTAATGAACTAAAAACTACTGAATTGTACACTAAAAAGGTGAAATTTATGGAATGTGAATTGTATCTCAATAAAGTTATTTTTAAAATTTTTTTTTATCCTCACCCGAGGACATTTTTGCTTTTTTTTTTTTTGTTCAGGTAGATTGGGAGGGAGAGAGAGGAACAGAGAGAGAGAGAGAAACATCGATGTGAAAGGAACACATCGAGTGGCTGCCACCCGCACGACCGACCAGGACCGGGGACAAACTGCAACCGAGGTACATGCCCTTAGCGGGAACCGAACCCGGGTCTCTCTGCACCGCAGGTCGACTCTCTAACCGCTGAGCCAAACCGGCCAGGGCGTCAATAAAGTTATTTTAAGGGTGGGGGAATAAAGGACAGAACAAATAAGAAAGCCTTCTCTTCTTTTCTCCCCAGGTATCTATAAGAGAGCCTGCTACCCAGGGATGGGTTAACACAGTCCCTTGTGCATGGAATAAGAGAACCACACACAAAGAGAATAAGGCCTCGTCTGAAAGGCTACAAAGCTGTGACTCTACTTTCTCTATCAAATGGATACCTCACTGACCCAGGTTATAATAATTCTAACTCCCAGTGTCTCAAAAAAGAGAGCTTTAGTTACCTCTTAGGTTGGTCTCCTTTAGCCAAGTGAGGAGAGCCTGGCCTCTCTTCCTGGACCCAGCCGCAGTTTGACATAGCGTAGCGAAGAATGGCATCAGAAACAGTCACGGGGCTTTGGCCCTGGACACAGGCTTCTATCTCTGGTACTGAAAGCTGGCTTTGCAGGAAGAGGTGTAACTGGCTGTCTGACAGGAGGACAACACTCTGCAGGACCCTGGGGCAAACAGGTAGGATAACACACAGCATCACCCTGAAGATTTGTTCTCCCAACCCCATCCATCTCCTGAAGGGCTCTGGCTTGAGTGAGCATGAGGGTATAAGAAAGGGGTCTACTCTAAGTACACCTGTATGTTCAATGAGCCATTCTGTCTATCACCTTCCTCCCTCCCTGCCCCCACCTCAGAAGACAAGTGCTAGCCTGCCATGTCCACTCACTTTTCGAGGAAGTGCTGCAGACCTTGTCGTCGCTTCTCAATGAATTCATCTGAGCTGCCAAAGAAGGTTGACTTCCCAGGAAGTTCAGGTACAGGCCTGTGGAGTCACATAATGTAACACTCAACTTAAGTATAAAATCCGAGACAGTCATTTCAGCCCCTGATCAAGGAAATCCCCTAAAAAGAAGCACAAATCAATACAAATAGCTTTTTTCTTTTCTTTTTTTTTAATCCTCACCGGAGGACATTTTTGCATTTATCTTCAGGTACAGCAGGAGGGAGAGAGGGAGGAAGAGAGAGAGAAACATCAACACGATAGAACCACATCGACTGGCCATCACCCACACAACCCCAACCAGGGCCAGGGACAAACAGCAACTAAAGTACGTGACCCTAGTGGGAACCGAACCCGGGACTCTGTTCTGCGGGCTGATACTCTAACTGCTGAGCCAAACCGGCTAGGGCTACAAACAGCTTTTAATAAGACGTCAGGGGTAGGAAGCTAACAATGACTGACTGCATGCCATATGTCAGGCACTCCGCTAAATATTTTACAAACCTTATTTTATTAATCCTTCCAAAACCCCATGAGAAAGATATTAGTGTTATCATTTTACTAGCAAAGAAATAGAATAAAAAAAGTTGAGAAAAGTTCCCAGTGCCACAGAGCTGGTATTTGAATCAAGTCTATGATTTCAAAACTCCATGCTACTATACTACATTGTTTACAAAACCCACTTCCACCATCAACTGTTATTTTTATTTATTTACTTATTTTTATCTGAGGATGTGTCTATTGATTTTACAGAGAGAGGAAAACAGGGAGACAGAGAGAGAGAGAAACATCAATGTGAGAGAAATAGCGATGATTTGCCTCTCGTACACACCCTGACCAGGGATCAAACATGCAACCTAGGCATATGCCCTGACCAGGAATCGAACCCACAACCTTTTGGTGTATGAGACAACACTCCAATCAACTGAGCCACCCAGCCAGGGCTCAACTGTTATTTTTAAAAAGGAGAAACTTGTCTGGCCAGTGTGGCTTAGTGGATTGAGCATTGTCCCATGGACTGAGAGGTCCTGGTTCGATTCCTGGTCAGGGCACGTGCCTGGGTTGCGGGCTCAATCCCCAGCAGGGGGTGTGTGGGAGGCAACTGACTAATGTTTCTCTCTCACATCAATGCTTCTCTCTCCCTCCCCCTTCCTCCCTCTTAAAAAAAGCAATGAAAAAAAATTGAAAATAGCCCTGGCTGGTTTGGCTCAGCAGTTAGAGCATCAGCCTGCGAACCAGAGAGACCTGGGTTCAGTTCCCACTTAGGGCACGTACCTCAGTTGCAGTTTGTCCCTGCCCGGTTGGGGTTGTGTGGGTGGCAACCACTCAATGTTTCTCTCTCACATCGATGTTTCTCTCTCTCTCTCTCTTCCTCCTTCTCTCCCTCCGCTCTATCTGAAGATAAATGCAAAAATGTCCTCGGGTGAATATAAAAAAAAAAAATTGAAAATAAATAAAAGGGAGAAACTTAAGACATAGAGACATGGAGAATGCTGGGTCCTTGTATGTAAATTAAGACTACTTATTTCAGCCATACCAGAGTGGCTCAGTTGGTTGAGCATCATCCCATGCACCAAAAGGTGGCCAGTTCAATTCCCAGTCAGGGCACATACCTAGGTTTTGGGTTTGATCCCCAGTTGGGGAGTGTATAGAAGGCAACGGATCAATGTTTCTCTCTCATATCAATGTTTCTTTCTCTCTCTCTCTCTCTCTCTCTCTCTCCCTTCCTTTCTCTAAGTATGCCCTTGGGTGAGGATAAAATAAATAAAAGAAAAACTTGAGCTAAAATATTTTAAAAGATTAAGAAAAAAAAAAGACTACCTATGCCAGTCGCAGAAAGTCACACACTTGGAATTTTCTAAAAGTAGATGAGCTGTCATCTACAAACTCTCTAAACCTCCTTAGCCTCTCTTATGAAGCTGCGCACAAAACTTTTAAAAAATAGCAGCAAGGCCCTGGCCAGTTCGCCTTAGTGGTTGAGCATCGGCCTGCAAACCAGAGAGTCCCGGGTTCGGTTCCTGCTAGGGGCATGTACCACAAAAAAAATTAAAAAATAAAAATAAAAAATAGCAGCAAGGCCAGAGATGTACAATTTGTCAGGGGAATTTCCAGCTGGCTTATGAGGGCCTGACCCATGACAATGGCCTCAGTCCCACATGGTCACTAACTGGCTAGGTCATCAACAGACCATCGGTCACCAGAGCATTCAAAGACCACTCTGTGGTAGAATCACTGTTCTACACTGTGTCTAGTTTTAGGACTAATTTGGGAGGTATAAGTGAGGAATGAATAATACTCTTTCCTAAGGCCCTCAGTCTGTTGTGTCTCTAGGAAAAGGTCTTCGCATACACACACACACACACACACACACACACGACAATTTTTACATGTCAAATGGATAGGATCATCACCTGTCAAATAAATCCAGGAGCTAAAAAGTTTCTGATAACCAGTGATAAGCACATTTAAAATGCTGGCAGTACATTTGTTTAGCCCTAGACTAATATGCATACAAGAAAAGGAAAATAAATATTTTTGATATTTCTATGGCACTGTTAGGTCAAAATACTAGAATTAAAAACTCTGTCTTGTCCAGCTAGTGTGGCTCAATGGTTGAGCATCAACCCATGCACCAAGAAGTCGCTGGTTTGATTCCCAGTCAGGACACATGCCCAGGTTGTGGGCCTAATCCCCAATGGGGGGCATGCAGGAGGCGGCCAATCAATGTTCTCTCTCATTGATGTTTCTATCTCTCTCTCCCTCTCACTTCCTCTCTCTCTAAAATTAGTAAAGAAAAAAAATAAAATAAAAAATTAAAAGATAAAATTTTTTTAAAAAAAGAACTGTTTTTCTGGACAGTATTATCCTAAGTGAAACAAGTCAATCAGAGAAAGACAAATATCACATGATCTCATTTATTTGTGGAATATAATGAACAAAACAAGTTGACGAACAAAATAGACTCAGAAACCTAGAAGTAGGGTATAGACTGACAAACCTCAGAAGAGGAGGATGGGGAGCGGGGGAAAAACCACAGAACTTACATGCCTGTATGCATAACCATGGACATAGACAAAAATGCTGGAGAGGGAGACTGGGAGAAGGGTATCAATGAGGGAAAAAGGAGTAACATCTATAACAAAAATAAAATAAATAAAAATAAAAAGAACTTTGTCTTTACTTTTCTTCACTGATTTAAAAACATAATTTAAGAACACATTTCTCAGTTTCCTTAGTGCCTGGCATGTTGCCAAGTTTTCCTCATTGTAAACTGTAATTCCCAAGTAAGTATCTAAAAAGCCAGTCTCAGGCTCAAGAAGGAAGCAAGAGCAGACTCACACTAAACCAGCATTTCTCTGTAGCTGCTTTCTCAACCATACGAATTCACGGTAGCGGCGACGCACACAGGACGTCTTGGCAGTAAAGGCCTTGCTGTTGGTCTACAGGAGAACGTATGTGAAAGGGTTTACTGGGAAAAGACCAAGATCACATGAACTCCCCATCACCACTCTCACTGAGGGTCTAAGCCACTAGGCCACAATCCTGATCAGGGGCTCCAACTAGACCCAGATACCACCAGGCAGCCTGCAAGCAACTCTTAGGCATACCCCAAGCTCTTGTTCCTTTCCTCCCTCCTTTTCTTCTGTCTTGGGTCTGTCAAAAACATTCACAAACAGGTCCTGCCCTCAGCACTATCCCTTAGCCCTGGAGAATGTTGACCCCCAATATAGAAGTTTGATGCACTTACATGGAGGAAGATCTTATAATCCACATAAGAATTCCAGGAGCCTTCATTCTGCACTCGGGGGTCCTGAACACGCACAGTGATCACCTCCTGGAGGTAAGAAATGTTCCTTCAGCTTCAACTCAGCCATACAGTAAGGCAGCTTTGACAACACAGGTTGTCAGATTTTTCCAAACAGACAGCATCAACTTTCATTCATTTGTCCATTTATTCATTAAATTGAACAAATATTTACTGGCCCAGTTTGTGTCAGGCACTGTTCTAAGAACGTGAACAAGAGACAAAATCCTTGCTCTCGTGAAGCTACACTCTAGCACATTTTTTTTTTTGGTACGTGCCCCTAGCGGGAACCAAACCTGGGACTCTCTGGTCCACAGGCCAATGCTCCAACCGCTGAGCCAAACCGGCCAGGGCCACTCTAGTACATTCTAAGAAATGGAAAAGTTAATCAAAAATGGAACCTCATTTCCCAGAAATGCCTTTACTACTATTTCCTTCTCCTGGCTTTATTTTGAGCTATCAGAACCACCAAGGTATTACTGTCAGAACAATACAAAGCAATGATTTGTATCTTCTCCCAAATCCCCTCAAACTTTTACCTACCTGTTCTGTGGAGACCACATGCTTACCTCTTGCTCTTGGTTCTCCAACATCCTACACCAAAAGCCCATTGGAAGAAAACATCTGGTGAGGGACAAATGACAAGGGAACAATCGTGGTTAGTGTGCTTCTATTTTTATTACTCTTTACCAGGGCAAAACCCTGAAAAACTTTAATCAACCCCCCTGGGGAAACCCAGGCACTTTTCTTATTCTTATGTAAAATTTATGAGGAAGCAAAAAAATTCCACCACCTTGGTTCCATGACAGCTACAAGCCCTGGGGGATTTGCCTTCCTTTTTCAGACCATGGCCAAGACCTTTAACTAGGCTACCTCTAGCCACAGCATGTTTGGGTCTGTGCAGTGTTCTGTCTCAAGCAGCCAGAACACAGAGGTCTGGTTTTTTGTAAATCCTTTCTGCCCGAAGACTGCAGGCAAAGCAGTGTATTGTGGGGACACACAGCACAGCTGAACAAGTGAGCCTAATATCGCCCCCTCCCGGCTGTTCAGAGACAGCCAAGCCTCCCAAAACACGAAGGCTCCTAAGTGTCTCTTTGTCTTGCTAACCACAGGCACCTCCCCAGAGGTAAATCAGAGCTAGAGAGCACAAGAGCACCTGAATGGGTTGCCCAGTTTTGACCTTCCCTTATCTAAACTGTTGTCCAGAACCCAAGCCAAAAGTTCTAATTATTTCCTTGCTGAACATGTACCTTTGCCCAAACACCCCACAGCTGCACAGGTCGATTCAGGATGTTTTCCACTCCTTTGTAAAGATTCATTAAAGCCTAAGCTGCTGATTTCCCCCAATGTGGCAGTTTACATGTGCAGTGACATTGCCCACTGTGACAAGGGGACCATGAAGGTTGCAGCACAGGGTTACTCAAGTCCAAAGGGGCCCATGATGTCACCTTCTGTTAAAATACAGCACTAATCTTATTACTCCTAGAACCACTCCAATAGTATCCACCCTGGCTGCCACCTGCACCCCCTTCTCCTCTCTTAAGAGCAGAACAATAAGGTTTAATTTCCCTTTTCAATTTACCTTGAAATGAAAACTGACTTCAGCCGATATGTACTGCCAACAAATGATCCAGGCTGGCTCTTGGGAAAACAAGACTATCTCTAAGATCTCCCTCTCCTTCCCCCAGACCCATTCACACCCACTCATTTTTACAGTCCCACAATTAATTTTAAACACATTCCCTTATTAGTTCTGCCTTACCATTAGAAGAGTATGTAATGAGTTTCCTTCTATCTTATGCTTTGCTAACACAGGCAAATGTTTCAAGAGAAGGGGAACTCATTTACACCACAAAATTAGCAGAGCAAACAGCTTTTCCAATTCTTTCCAGCATGCCAAAAGGTCTCTCCACACACAGACACTACACTCAGAGACAAAGCTGCATGGTATATGACAAAATTGGGCTATACCATTAAGCAAACTGAAGGTTTTATGACTGCAATACCATCTTAAATAGTATTCTTGCTGACAATCTAATTTTTAATCTGATGCAGTCACCACTGCAAAGGGGTCCTGAACTGAAACGTAGGCCATTCCAATGCCACAACAACCGATGTATAAAATCCTGATGTATGTAGTCAAATGGCTGTGACCAAAAAGAACAGGCGGATTCACTGTAAACAATTAACCTCCTCAGATTTAAAAATATTTCTCTTCTTTTCAGGCATTTGATAAACTGCCAGCACAGGAGCAGAGTTAAAAGATTCTGAAGCCCTGGTCGGTTTGGCTCAGCGGTTAGAGTGTCGGCCTCTGGACCAGAGAGTCCTAGGTTCAGTTCCCGCTAGGGGCACGTACCAAAATAATAATAATAATAATAAAAGATTCTGAAGTGTCTTTTCACAAAAGTAACAACAGGAACGATGATATCAAGGAAGTCATAGTCATCCACAAGTTCAGTGGAGTTCACACATCTCCTGTACCTTGAAAGGTTTGCCAAATTAAGGACTAAAATTTAGTAACTAAGTGGTCATCACTCTCTTGAATGCAAGAAGAGTTCGCCTAGGGCTCTGCACCACCTCCACATGCAAGTTCCACTCCTTTCCTTTGGGGCTAATACTGCTTAGAAACAAAAAGCTATAAACTGGCTTTTAAAAAATCCTAGGACCCCCAAAATGCTGTGTACTTAAATCTAAATTTGAAGGGCACTAAGAAAGTTCCAGTTGTAACTTTCCTTAAAAACACTGTAACAAATACAAAAACTTGAAGTAGACTTGAAGTAATAATTTCTAACAACTACTATTCTCCATTAGCTTCCTCCCCATAACGCTACTCCTGAGGAGGAAATGAAGCTCAGTTCTCTGGAGGGGAAGAAGGAAGTTAACTTTAGCTCAATTATTGGGGAGATGGATCCATGTCATCCAAATAAGGACAGTCAGTGATTATCTCAGCTACTTATGCAACTCAGCGTTAACTCCACTTCGTGGGCTCTTTCAATCACATCTTTCTTTTACCTTCTCCACCTGAACCAGCACCAATAACTTCTGGGAGAACCTAGTTGTTTGCTGTTTACAAAGTAGATTCCTTGTAAAGCATTCCAATGTCCTAACAAGTCAAAGCTTTAGCTTTCATTTAAACTACTTCAAGACACAGGTTAAAAGAACAATCAGGTGATAAAAGTACATTGAGCCACCTAGACTTTCATCCATTCTTATTCTTTTTTTTTTTTTTTTTATCCTCACCCGAGGACATTTTCCATTTTTTGTTCAGGTAGAGTGGGAGGGAGAGAGAGGAACAGAGAGAGAGAGAGAAACATCGATGTGAAAGGAACACATCGAGTGGCTGCCACCCGCACAACCGACCAGGGCCGGGGACAAACTGCAACCGAGGTTCGCGCCCTTAGCGGGAACCGAACCCGGGTCTCTCAGGACCGCAGGCCGACGCTCTAACCGCTGAGCCAAACTGGCCAGGGCCCATTCTTAATCTTGAGCCAGATGCCAACTCAAGAAGCTCTTCTTCCTAAAAACCCACAGGTTGTAGAGGAAGCTTCCCCTGTCTGACCAACCTCGGTGTGTTCTCAACCAACCAGCTGTGCTCCATTCTTTTGTCCCTCTGTAATTTGTCATTCCTTCCACTTGGAAGGTAAGTCACAAAAGCTACCACAATCTAGTGCAAGAGACTCCTGTGTTCTGGTAAAAATACTTGCCAATACCCCTACTCCTAGCCCTTTGGGTAAATGTCCCCAAACTCTTTGAGTCTGGCCACTCCCCTCCATTCTTTACGGACTAGGAGCAAAGGGCCACTTGATCCTTACTCTCCTTTGCCTATTAAGCTTGGGGAGTGGGAAGAAATGATGCTTTATACTTCTTTAAAAATAAAGGAAAGATCCTAGCTCAGTTGGTTAGAGCCATCCTGATAGGCCAAGGTTGCGGGTTCCATCAGGGGTTGGGGCACATACAAGAAAACCAATAAATGCATAAATAAGTGGAACAACAAATCGATGTTTTCTCTCTCTTGCTCTCCCTTCCTCTCTCTCTCAAATCAATAAAAAATAATAAAAATAAAAATAAATGGAAAAGCCGGATTTCCTTCCCTGGATCCTGAACAAGTATCCACCTTTATCCCAAAGATGAAACACCCCCTAGGATGTCAAGCAAAGTCCCCACCCCAAGCGCCACTACTAAAGCTTAAGCCTGCAGCCCGCACATCAGCAGCACCCATTTGCCACAGCCGCAGCCCCGCCCACGACCCCTCACCTGAGAGCAGCACCCACTCGCCACAGCGACACCGCCAGCGCCCCACCACATAGCCACTCTAGGCTTCTCCTTCCGGGTGAGTGGTTAGTGCCCCAGTGCACGACGGGAGACAGCTCCTGACACTCCAATCCCGGGTGCCCAGGACGCCCCGCCCCTGCAAGCCCGAGCTCTTAGTGGCGATCGCGCTTCCCCCGAGGCGCTCTCGATCCCACCCAGGCCCTGGCGGCAGTCGGGATGCTACACGGTTCACCGCGGGTGCTGGTGCTGCAAAGTGGACGCCGGTGAGGGACGACCTAGAGACTCTGACATCCAATCCACGGCTGCGTCCCGCCCACCGTTGTCAGACCCGCCAATCAGCGGCCAGGGAGCCTCATTAACGGTGTGAAAGAGGGTCCCCGGAGCTGAGCGGTGAAAGGAGGTTGTCACCTAGCTTTCTATTCTGCAAAGCTTGGTCTTGAGTATAGCGGGGTCGGGAAAGAAAGCACCCGGGTTCCTAGAGCCTCGCAAAGTCCTCAGTTGAACCGGGAGGTTGCAGTTCCCCGAAAGAATTTTCAAGAAAACTCTAGTGCAGGTTCGTAAAACCACAAATTGGCAGAGCACAAACCGGAACTGAGATGGTTCAGCAACTTAGTTTTGCTCCCCGAAACTAACCCAAAGAAGGATGGTGCAGCTGGTTAGTGAGAAAGAACAATCCGTTGAATATGAGGAAGACTTTTTTTATTAATCATCGCCCAAGGAGATAGATAGATAGATAGATAGATAGATAGATAGATAGATAGATAGATAGATTTGTATCCTCGCTGGAGGACACTTTTGCATTTATCTTCAGATAGAGCGGAAGGGAGAGAGGGAGGAAGAGAGAGAAAGAAACATCGATGTGAGAGAGACACATCCACTGATTGTCGCCCACACAACCCCAAGCAGGGCTGGGGACAAACTGTAACTGAGGTAATACCCTTAATGGGAACCGAACCCGGGTCTCTCTTGTCCATGGGCCAACACTCCAAACACTGGGCCAAACCAGCCAGGGCTGAAGGCTTTTTTATGTTGTTGAAATGTCTTTTAACGACCAGTTTAACAATTATGTTGGCAAAGATAGTATCAAGGGAAAAGTTATGGTCACAAATACAGGCTCTAGGGCTAAGTGCTAGGTACTATACCCAGCATTACACTGACCCTGTGGCCTTAAACTGGTCCTAAGTCTTTGTAAGTCTTAATTTCCTCATCTGTAAAGTGGAGATTATTGAACATAATTCAAAGCAGCTTTTCTCGAACTTGTCTCAAGATCAGTTTGCATCCCTAAAAATGATTAAGGGCCCTAAGGAGCTTTTGTTTATGTAGGATAGTCACCAAATTAGAAATTAAAATTGAGAAATTTAAAAACATTTATTTGGGTGGTGAACACACAATACAATATATAGGTAATGTATTATAGAATTGTACACCTGAAACCTATATAATTCTGTTAACCAATGTCACCACAATAAATTCAATAAAAAGTTTTAAAAACATTTGTTAATTTACCTAAAGTAATAATGATAAACCATTATATGCTAAGATGATATATTTTATGAACTGTAACTACACTTTTTTTTTTTTTTTTTTTTTTTTATCCTCATCCGAGGATATTTTTCCATTTTTTTGTACAGATAGAGTGGGAGGGAGAGAGAGGAAGGGAGAGAGAGAGAGAAACATCGACGTGAAGGGACACATCGAGTGGCTGCCACCCGCACGACCAACCAGGGCCGGGGACAAACTGCAACCGAAGTACGTGCCCTTAGCGGGAACCGAACCCGGGTCTCTCCAGACCGCAAGCCGACGCTTTAACCGCTGAGCCAAACTGGTCAGGGCCACTTTTTTTTTTTTAATCCTCACCCGAGATACTTTTCCATTCATCCTCAGATTGAGTGGAGGGAGGGAGAGAGAGAGAGAAACATCGATGTGAAAGAGACACATCGACTGGCTGCCTCCTGCATGACCCCAACCAGGGCTGGGGACCAAACTGCAACCGAGGTCGATGCCCCTGACCAGAATCAAACCCATTACACTTTGGTCCACAGGCCAACACTCTAACCACTGAGCCAAACTGGCCAGGATTAACTACACTTCTTTTTTTTTTTTTTGTACAGATAGAGTGGGAAGGAGAGAGAGAAAGGGAGAGAGAGAGAGAAACATCGACGTGAAGAGACACATCGAGTGGCTGCCGCACGACCAACCAGGGCCGGGGACAAACTTGCAACCGAAGTACGTGCCCTTAGCGGGAACCGAACCCGGGTCTCTCCGGACCGCAGGCGGACACTCTAACCGCTGAGCCAAACTGGCCAGGGCTTAACTACACTTTTTTAAACAAAAATTATTGACTAGAGTGACATTGTATTATAATTTTTCAAATTTTTTTAGTGTCTGGCTTAATAGAAGACAGCTGAATTCTCATATTTGCTTCTCCATTCTTTGATGTACTATGTTATTTTGGTCTAGAAAATGAAGAAAATCCTGTCTCACAGATTTTTTTTTTAGTCTTCTCCAATTACTGTGGATACCCTTCTTTGATACTAGCAAAATTCAACAAATGGTAGTTTCTTTTTTTTTCCTTTTATTTATTTATTTTTTATTGATTAATTTTTGTTACAGATGATTCTCCTTTTTTCCCCCACTGATTCCCCCCACCCACTCCCCTCCCTACCCCTTCCCAGATTGTTGTCCATGTCCACTGTTTATGCATACATCAAATGGTAGTTTCTTAAAGGTTACTTGCAGTGGGGTATCCGAAACCATTTGGGAAATACTGGTGTCCTGAGTTATGCAGATTTTCCAAATATTGATGCATTTTATTTTATTTTTTAAATATGCTTTTATTGATTTTTTTTTTTTTTTTTAGAGAGAGAGGAAGGGACAGAGATAGAAACATTGATGTGAGAGAGATACATTGATTGGCTGCCTTCTGCACACCCCCTACTGGGGATCGAGCCTGCAACCCAGGCATGTGCCCTGACCAGGAATCGAACCGGGAGCTCTCGGTCCATGGGACGATGCTCAATTGATGCATTTTATTATTCAATATTTTAAAAATCACATTTATTAAAATCATCATTAATGTCACCATCATTTTGGTGAATACCATATTTTCCAAAGTTATAAATTTGTCTTGAAAGCTCAAATGGTGAAATAGAAACACTTTTAGTCATTTTCCTTGAAGTGGCAGACTCATTCAAATATTCAAGTCTGAATAACCATAATTTTTCTCAGTCATTCTTTCAAATAAAAGTATTCATTTCAAATACTTCAAATGAAGCATTTCTTTCATAGACTTTAGTAAGCAGCAAAGTGCTTTATGTACATCTTCCATTTCATCACAGAGAACATTAAAAAGACATATACTCTAGGAAAGAGATTTCATAAAGTTCATAATTTGTACTACGAAGGATAGTCTTAAGTGAAAGTGGTCTTTTAATTTTTTTTTGCATAGGTGCAGCCATGAAGAATGCAACTCTACTATAAGTTGATGCTCCGCTGCCTTGATTCATGCTAAGGTGCCAGCACTTTTACCCACTGTTACTTTTGTACCATCAGTGAAAATGTCAACACAATGGAAAAGATCAAGTAATGTCTTAATAGTATTAGGAAAATAGTTTTGACCATGCAGACCTCTCTCAAACCATCCCAGACACCCTCAGACTCTATGGACTACACTTGGAGAACCACAGAGTATATCTGCAGTATGTATCCATTCATTCAACAAATATTTATTGAGCCCTTTCTATGGACTGAGTACTGTTTTAGGTATCAACAATAAAGCAGTGAGCCAAAAAGTAAAATATGCTAACCTCCTGGAGCTTATATTTTAAAGAATATATGGCCTTACCCACCTGGAATATTACTCAATAAATGTTTTTAATAAATGTATTAAATAATTTGAATGTAATATAGGTTTCACAAACAGGTGGTGCCCTATCTTCAGTGAGCTTATTTTTCAACAACAATTTCCAACACTTGATAATGAGACCAATTCTCATCATACCAGAAATGCTAGCAAATCATATAAGTAACTCTCCAAGCAGTGATCCCTGCATTTGAGAAAACTAATCAATGTCAGGGCTATGGATGCATGATTTGAGAAGTGTAAGTTTTAATTACCACCTGGAAGTCACGTGAGAATCAGAGACTGACCAGGGGAAGTAAGAATCTTAAGTATATTTGCCTCTTAAAAGAGTGCTTGTTAACCCCAAGTGAATACATCTTTAACAATAGAATTTCAAAGTAGTAATCAAAATACACAAAGGCTTTCACACCCATTAGGAAGGCTACTATAAAGAAAAACTGAAAGCAACAAACTGGGAGAAATCCAAACCCTTGTGCACTGTTGGTGGGAATGTAAAATGGTGCAGCCACTGTGGAAAACAGTATGGCACTTTCTAAAAAAATTAAAAATAGAATTACCATATGATTCAGCAATTCCACTTCTGAATATATAACCAAAAGTACTGAAAATGGGGTCTCTCAAACACATACAGTATGTATATCCACATTCATAGCAGCATTATTCACAATGGCGAAAATGTGGAAGTGCCCAGCCGGTGTGGCTCAGTGGTTAAGCATCGACCCATGCACCAAGAGGTCGCCAGTTTGATTCCCAGTCAGGCACATGCCCAGGTTGTGGGCCCGATCCCTGCAGGAGGTGGCAGATCAATGTTCTCTCTCATCGATGTTTCTGTCTCTTTCTCCCTCTCCTTTGCCCTCTCTCTAAAATCAATAAAGAAAAAAAAAATGTGGAAGCAACTCAAGTGTCCAACAATAAATGAATGGATAAGCAAAATGTGATATATACATACAATGGGATATTCTTCAGCCTTCAAAAGGGAGGAAATTTTGATGTATACTACAACATATGTCCATATGAACCTTGAGAACATTATGTTAAATGAAATAAGGCAGTCTCAAAAAGACAAATGCTATGATTTCCCTTCTATGACATACTTAGAGTAGTCAGAATCATAGAAACAGAAAGGAGGGTGGTGGTTACAAGGGGCTGGGGGGAGGGAGGAATGGGGAGTTATTGTTTAACGGGTATAGAGTTTCAATTTGACAAGATGAAAAGAGTTACAGAGATGAGTGGTGGTGATAGTTGTACAACATTATGAATGTATTTAATACCATTGAACTCTACACATAGAAATGGTTAAGATGGCAACAA